GCATGGCTCACCTTTCCTTTTTTCAGTATAATACTTCTGGACTTTTTTGAGTCTGATGCCGAAGCTGTCAATGCTCACTGCTGCCACTCTATGGTTTACGGGGGAACTGTTTGTTCTGTCAAATAATGTTAAAGAATCCTTAAAGAAAATCCTGTATCCAGATTACGAGTTGGATCATCACAAAAGTTAATGGATTGGTCCTTGGACTGAGGTGTACCTTTGGTAAAAAATATTAAAATCTGTTCATAGCTTTACAAGTTATACTCTACACAGACAGACAGACACGCAAACTCAACTAAAAACGTAACCTCCTTGGCGGCGGTAAAAATCAAAGCCAAAGATGACATTCTAAACCTGCTCACAGGATTGGGAAGTTTGGACTTTACTTGGATTAAAAAACTGGTCAGGAACTTTAGCCATGTCTTCAGTCTGACAGCCATTGTCAGGAGTTCAGGGGATTTAGCTTCTAAGTCTGAAAAATAATTATTTGATATCAGTTACTGATTAATTCTCTCGTTAAAACTGTCCTCCCTCAGGCCACACTCTCTCTCCTGCTCGACCACCTCAGCCTGGTAGCATCCTTCAGCTCTTTTAATAGAATGACACACCAGAACCTGGCAGTTTGCTTTGGTCCCGTACTCTTGACACCGACTCAGGAGGCTTATAGCGGAGGAGCAGAAAGAGGAGCAAGTAGGTCGGGAAAAGGAGCAGGGAAGGCTTTTGGTCCTGTTGAAGACATCACAAACGCGGTTGACTTCAAACGCCATATTGAGGCCTTGCACTACCTGCTCCAGCTTTGGCCAGGTGATGCCCTGCAATCTCTCACTCATTGCTGTTTCCATTAAAACATTTATATTTTACCATCCTTATGTTACTCCTCAGTGCCGACAAAACGAGTTCCAGCAGACGACCCCCTTCCTCCATGCTATCCCACCCTCAGCCAGCCTCTCCAGGTCCAACCAAGCTATGGATTGGGTCTCCTCCCCAATGCTGGGGAGGAAGTTGTGGTTTCACGGCGAGGGCGCGGCGGATTGCCCCGGCTGGAGAGTCCACCATCCATCAACAGATATGCTGGGGACTGGACTGTCTGCGGGCAAGACCTTCTGTCCGAGTATGAAGCCGACTACGATGAAGTGGCAGGAAGTGAGAGTGAAGGAGGTAAAGTCTTTACAAGTAGTAAGGTTTAGACTCGAAGGATTCAAATGGAACAAAATCCCACAGGTTCTTTCTGCTCTTCTTGTTTCAGGCAGCAAAGAAGAAGAGGAGGAGGAGCACAAGAAAGCCTGGTCATCAGGAGCAGGAGGAGGTCTTTTTGTGGATGAGTTCATAGATTTTGATGCTCCGTTTAACTGTCGACTCAGCTTGAAGGACTTTGACACCCTGATTCATGATTTGGACCGAGAGCTTGCAAAGCAGATCAACATCTGTTTGTAGATGTGGTGGGAAGGAACAGAAAGATGAGGAAAACCAAAGGGAAGAGTCCAGAATTGATCTGATTTTCAATCAGCTAAAATTCAGATTCTAAAATTTGGTTGTTTTTCCAAAAGTGTTGGAGGACCTTTTCAGCTTTAAACTTTTATTTTGCACCTTTGAAGCCATAATTTTTCATAGATGAAGAGAGCAGATTCCAGACGCCATCGCTCTGATGCTTGCAGTCTAGAGTCCTGCTCTGAGAAAGCTCTGGCTGCAGGCGTCGCCAAGTGTCTCTCATTTTCACTAAACCCAGGTCCCAAGAAAGTATTTGGAGTTACAACAGAACCCTAACCCCAACTCTTAACACAGATCACACTGATGCATAAAGTCACCATTTTATACATGTTTTTTTCCTGCCACTCCATGCAACACACGGAGGGGGAAGTGGGTTTTAGTCTTGAATGTTTCTGAAGTGTTTCCACCATCTTGAGGACAGCATCTGCAGCCAGGAGTTCCTGAAGGCAGAGGGGAAAATGTAGGGGATTTCAGGGTTTTGCCGGTACAGTTTTTGTCACTGTGAGTTTGTTTCTTGTTTGTACTTGATGTTTATGGCAGTATTATTTTGTTTTGTTTTGCACGCACTCAGTGAGCACTTGTTTTTTTTATAATTATGTTTTTATACAAATGATGTAACCAAAGATTTAAAGCACAGCTCATGTTAGAGCAACCACAGCTGCCTGTTTTTATTCCAAAAACAAATAATAAACATTATTATTATTATTATTAATATTATTGAGATGTTCATGACTTCACCCTAGGATATTACTATGGTACAGCATCTTGATCATCCATCCAGCTTTCTTCTTCCACTTGGCTGGGGTCGGCCAGGTCCACCGGCCAGATCCACCAGGTCCACCGCCCAAGGTATTCCCAGGCAGGCCAGAAAAAAAAGCTGCTCCAGTGTGTCCTGGGTCTTCCTCTGGTTCTCCCGGTGGGACACGCTAAGAAAACCTGACGAATCCAGGAGGCATCAGAACCAGTTACCCAAGCCACCTCGCCTAGCTCCTCTCGATGTGGAGAAGCAGCAGCTCTACTCTGAGCCCCCTTCCGATGACTGAGCTTCTTTGGGGGAGAGCCCGGACACCCTCCGCGTAAAACTTACTTCAGACGCTTGTACCCGAGATCTCGTCCTTTCTGTCATGACCATAAATGAGGGTAGGAAGTACAGTAGAGAGGGGCCGTATGGGGGGGGGAGTTAGGAAAAGGCCAATGTCTGAGGAGGGCCCCAAAAGATATGTTCCGCTATATGATTCGAATATAATACAGTGACCCCCTCATGAGTATATTGACACAGTGACAATGAAGAAGTAATCAAATGAACAACAAAATTTGTAAGTAAGCAGCAGTGTGGATAAAACGTCCGTGGTTGAAAAATGCAGCACCCCAAGGAATCAAAGTGTGGTTTTCAAAAACAAAGTAACAAAGTAAGCAGAAAGTGGATATAGGAGTCTTCCTTTTTATTCTGCACACCTTTTACTTGCAGTACCAGACTGTCCTTTCATCCGCAGAAATACTCTAACTGGTGAAGCTATTTTGGCATGGTGTGGAAACAATAATCATATCCTGAATGTCAACAAAACAAGGGAGATGATTGTAGATTTCAGAAGAAACAGGAAGAAGTTGCATCCCATTAACATCATGGGTGAAGACCTTAGTATTCACCTGGACAACAAACTCCAATTGAAACACAACTGTAAAACCATCTACAAGAAGGGACAAAGAAGACTATACCTTTTATGGAAGCTAAGGTTCTTCAGCATTTGCGGCAAGTTGTTACATATCTTCTTTATGTCTGTTATGGAGAGTGTGATCTCTTACTCCATCATCTGCTGTGGTAAAAGCATCAGAGCAAATTACTTGAAATAGCTCAACCAGGTAATGACAGAGGTCAGCTCTGTTCTCTAGAAACTCTGCAGACGATTTCACAGAGGAAAGGAACAATCTGGACATCCCAGAGCATCCTCTTCATAGGACTGTTAGAGGTGTAGTGGAGGATTGGATTGGAGGAGTGGATTTTCTTTTTCCGGGTGGATCATCTAAATAAGTGGACCTCCTTAATGTCAAGGAGGCCAGAATCAGATGCAGGCCTCTATTTCTATTTGATCAAAACATACTACCAGTGGAATGAATAAAAACAAGATTTTGTGTCTCTTTGAACCTATAAAATACTAGGTTAATTTACTGAAAAAGTACATTTACCATAACGGTATACAGAACATTATTCAGACATCTTCCAGCAGCTGCAATTTTTCTGCATGGCAATACAAAAAAACAAAAAAAAAAACAGAATGGAATCTTGGCCAAACTGACTTGCGTAACAAAGTTTTAAAAAAGTTAATGGAAACTGTTCTGCCATCACAGCGAAATTTTATTTGAGGCGGGCTAAGTGGAAGTAGGCTACCAGTATCATACATTTCAAGGGAAATTCAGAACAACAAAAGCCAACAAAATTCTGTAATTTTAACGCTGCCTGGTTACCACCAGACCTACTGGTAATCACGTGTCTTTCAGATAAGAACGATTGTGTAAGGCCACTACGATCTCTGTGTAAGGATGGGACTTCCCATGCTATTGGCTTGGATTCGTTAGCAAACATTGCCTCCCTGTGGTACTTGTATGTTACTATAACAAGTTGTTGAGGAATGCCCAGGAACATTGTTGGTTCTAAATATAGCTCCGGCCTGTATACGAGTCCGGCCATTATTTACCTCCACCGACAGCCAGACAGGCCATTGTTAGAGACCCGGCCGCTAATGGAATAGCGGCCAATATTAGAGGATTTACGGTAACTGAGTTCATATAAAGTCCACTATATAGTCCCTGCTCTACATAGTGATTGAGGGATTTTGGGGTTTAGGGTGGACATGCAGGCACAGTAAGCTTGTATGAGCTATGAGAACAGCAACTTTTAATCCGAGCATGCACGAGGAGAAATGGGCTTGTGCATGCTCTTGCACACGCTTAATAGGTTTTCCCTGGTATAGGGATGTGCATATGAATATTTTTTTTTTTATTTTACAGTGGAGAGGGCAAGTCTTTAAAAAAAAAAAGACAAAAATCATACACTATACTTTTAAAGCAAACAAACATCTAATGCAAGACAGATGATCCTTCCTGCCTACAGCATCTACCATAACTTGTTGAAAACAAAAACTATAAAGGTCAAGACTAAAGTTTGGTCTTACTGATATCATCTGCATTTTTCTACTGCAAAAAACTTTGAGGTAGAAAAAAAAGTTCCTCTATTGACAAAGTAGCGTCAGAGTTACCTCTGAACCCTTTAGGTTAGTTTTCAGAACCAACTTACAGGTTTCTCGCCTCACTAAAGGACATGTAAGGAATTTTAAGCCCCGTCCTCGCCTTTTGTTTCTGCTCCCGTGGCTAAGAGAAGGATGTGACCCAGTCCTGACAGGCTCCTCCCTTCCACATTTCCTATTGGAGGAAAGCCCAACGTGCTGACGTTTCTGAATCCTGATTGGTTGCTTTGTTCTTTGTATCTTTCTGAGCAGCTGACGGGGGGGCGTGTCGAGGCGCGCACAGACAGAAGATGGCTGAAAACCAGAAAGAGGAAAAGGAGTAAATAAAGTACTAAATCTACCACAATGCCAGAGAAGTGAGGAGGAGGACCGTTCCTGGAGCTGCTGCGGCCCAAATTGCCCCGAAAACCGCCGGTTATTTCCCAGCGGAACTTCTCCATGAAACGCAGCAGGTGAGACTAAATCTATCTGCGTAACAACAGAAGGACTCAAACTGCAGCGCGAGCGTCAAAACAACAACAACATAAACCCCCCAGCAGCAGGAGCTCAGATCAGAGCCAGCTCATCCTGACATCCAAAACCTCATATTATTCATTACAATAAGTTAACTGGAACGCTTGATAGATAAATGGTTAAAAACCTAATGATTAAATGTTCAACTCAAATGATTAACTTAAAAAAAAATGAAAAATTTGAGATGACATTGAACATATTTCACAAATAAGAAAGCTTAAATAAATTATTAAATTAACGTTAAAGTTGATCTGTCTCATTGGTTCTGACCAGCGATGGGCTCCTGAGGAATTTTACCATCCCATAAAAAAAACCCATGATCCATTGGTTGAATTAATTCAGTGAAAATTAATTTATTAATTCCAAAGTGAAATGAAATTTTCCGGTAACTCATACGTTATTTTTCTTTCTTTCTTTTCTAAGTCAAGAGCCTAACAGATTTTGCTTTCACAAGTGGAGCAGTGCAGCTTTCGCCATAGTATTCTGCTTGATTTATGCATATAAATAGCTTTATTATAATTATTTAATTATTATATTATTTACTGATTATATGGAGACTGCAATTTCAGTAGAACCGGAAAGGAAAACAGGAAAAAGGAGAAAAGATGAAAGAAAGAGGAGATAAAAGGGAGACAAGGATAAAATATCTTCAGTCTGCTTCATCACCTGCAAAGAGATGTAAAAAGAACAGCACAGCCAACGGATATCGTATAAGAGATACAATTGATACCATCGCTGAAGTATAAGTCGTATTATTTAATCTGACATGTATACTGCGGTAGCTGAAGATAAGAGTATGGGCTTTCTGTATGGAAGTTATTTTTTAAACAGGTGTTGTAGGTGTTGACGGCTGCAGGCAGGAAGTATCAATAATCAGGAATAATGTGACCTTTACTTTTTTTTTCGGCAGTTTATCCATTGCTAGGGCTGGGTATCGTTCAAAAATTTTCGGTGCCGGTACCAATACCGATACCTTGACTTCGGATACCGGTTCCTGCAC